CTGGATTCAATAGGGCTAAAATCACCAGATGTGATTTGTCATGTTGGTCATAACAACATTCTGTGTGTCTTTTATTCTGAAACATCAGTAAAAGTGTGAGAACAGGCGCTAGGTTAGTTTTAAATAACCCAAAGAAAAGATGACAGTGAAGCTCTGTCTATCGTACGGAGCAAGTGAAGGTTCGTTTGTTGAAGACGACTGAACTTCATCAGTCATCCGATGTTGGACTTTGTGTTTGCAAAGCGAGCTGTGTTATTTTACACAAATCCTCATTCTCAGATCTCTGGGCCCTGATATCTGGAGTGTGCGCCTGCAGCAGAGGCACAGGGTACAGGCTCTAGCATTAATCATGGAGAAGGATGAAAGTGTCGCACACATCTGCCTCCCTCTGCGAAGTCTGCCTTTGAAAGCCTAAACAGCTCCCAGAAACAGACTGACAGTTTCCCGGTGTTTACTCAATCTCAGATTTCCTCTGAGAAGATGATCCCTGCTCTTTTCTACCAATGTATCATTGTAACTTGTGTTATAATGATGCGTCTCAGTGTATAGTCGCACCATGTAGCATAATCAGTGTAACTTTTGGATAGGTTTGTTAACCCACCCTGGATGTTAATGTTAATATGAATACTGTGTTTGCTTCACAGTATGAATTCAAACTGAAGAACATAAAGAAAAAGAAGGTCAACATTGTCGTGTCCACTGATTACGTCAAAGTGATTTTGCACAAAAAGAAGAAGGTCAGTCCTGTAAAATGCCACCTTTTCAGATTTAACATCTTTATGTAAAATTATGTTTTTAAAAACCCCTTTGCCACTACCAAGCCACGTGTTTTTGTGTTGTAACAGAGAAAAGGGCGGTCATGGGATGAGGATACCATCTTGGTGACACAGGATCCCATCTACAGGTAGGTCTTCCTGATGATGATGATCAGTCAGAAACCGGGCAAATAAGCAGGCAGCTTGTATCTTACTGAATGAAACTCTTATTCAAAAACTCATCAACCTGCTTTCATGTACTGTCTTGCCTTAACAGGATTTTTTATGTCTCCCATGATGCTCAAGACTTGAAGATCTTCAGTTATATAGCAAGGGATGGACAGAGCAACGTTTTCCGCTGCAATGTTTTCAAATCTAAGAGGAAGGTGAGTCTAGTTGCCTGAGAAAATGATCAGTCTGGTTGTTCTTATTGTCAAAAAGTTGGATCAGATGTCCAACACAATATCTCAGGAGGAACACCTTAAAATTGTTTAATTTTGGTAAAAGTGTTCACTTGGACTCAGTTACGAACTGATTAGATTTGGTTAAAGGTACATACTGTGAATTTCACTGGTTGGCAGAGGCAGCAGTTCTAGTTCTCTTTATTAGTATTACTATTATTATTATTATTATTATTATAGCACAAACGTTTTTCAGTGTATCAACTCCTAAACATAGTGATATAAACATATCATGCAGCTCTTTGAGGCATGGGGTGCTATTATTTTTGGAGTTCTAGCATATTTGTGTGCATGTAATTTTCAGTTGAAGTCTTTGGGAGGAATGATGTGACTGATCAACTTTAAAAAGCCTACTGCTCTGACATAAGTGCAGCTAAACACTCTTTAGACTGGTAAAAGGAAAAAGTTTGTGGTAAGCTACTGTGAGCTCACTAGTTGCTGTCTGTAGGGTCATACAAGTAGTTAACATAAAGACATGAGAGCTTTGTCAACCTCCTCATCCAGTTCTCTGCAAAATGTCAAACTATTCCCTTAAAAATGTACATCTTGAGTACTAGCAAGCCAGGGAAATACAACGTAGTAAAAGACAAACTAACACATTGTTGGTTCTGGTGTCTGGTATCAAGGATTTTGTTGATTTTAGTACAGAATATCTCCAGATTTATCCTTTAAGAGGACAGTAAACAGCAATTCAATCACTGCATTTTGTTTTCAGCTCCCTACTTTATACAGCAGGATATGATCCCCGCTGTCTCAGTGATGTATGGTACGGCTGAACCACGCACAGCCAATAAATCTGAGAGTCAGACCCCTTGTGTGTGTCAGGGTCTGAGAAGAAAAGGCATGTTCCTCTCCACCTGTCTGAATATGAAGCTGAATGTTTTCCTCCATGACAAAGACAGAGCATCAGGATGACTCCCATCCCTTCACCATGGATACCAGACAGACAGTGACTTTGTAAGGCTGAATAATAATCATCCTAATGGGGAGAGAAAAGAAGAGCAGCTTTTTCATTCAGACATTTTCACTACTGTTGGACGAAACACACACCACACTGTGAGGGGTCACGGCCAGTGGTGCATCACTGCCTTCCTCCCCAGGGATGAGAAGCCTTATCAGGGTGTAGCAGACCAAGCATGTGTGCCAAGTAGAAGGAGATGGACCAGCTGATAAGAGAAGATTTGATTTCTCCTCATCACAGCATGGTTTAGATGCCAGCTCAGCCCATCCACAGAGCCTTTTGGGAGACTTGGCTTTTTCGCTAGACAATTCTGAAGCAAAATTTAATTTTGTATTAATGGAGCAAAATAATTCAATTCATGACTTCATCCCCGATATGTTGTTTTGCTGTTTCACTTGACTGAACTTCTTTTACGCTTGAGTTACTTGACATTGACTGAATGCTTGGAGGCAGGAGGATCCTCCAGAGGCAGATGGCAATAAATTTATTTTAATGCTGCTTCTGCCACTGTTCAATACAGAAAATTAAAAACTCACCTTTAATGAGACCAGTGAAGGTCATGGTGGATAGTTGTTAGTTGCAGTAGATTTAGCATCCTACCACAGGACTGCAGATTAGGGTTTCAGGGACTAGAGAAACTCTTAAATCAATCAGGAATCAGGTGTTCTGCCTGCTGTATGTGCTGAGCTTAAGAAACATTGATACAGCCATTCATGATAATTTTGTACAGAACTTTAAAAACCCTGTGTAGCTATTAGAACAACAAAAACACAAGGCCTACAACCATCAATTATTTTTTATTATTGATTAATATTTGTTCAATAATCAATTGGTTAGAAAACAGTATGAAATGCCCATCATAACACTCTATACACCAAAGTGATGCTTTTAAATGGCTTGTTTTATCTGACAGCCCAAACAGGTTAAATTTACTAACTGATGAGCTCAAACTAGGTCATGTTTGCTGTTTACGCTTGAAAAATGGCTTAAACAATGAATCAGGTATCAGTTACTCGTAGTTATGATCCTGACGGATAATTACTGTATAACCTGACTCTACAGCTCCCATCTGTTTTAAAGGAATAGTTCAAGACTTTTGAGGTTGGTATTAAAGCAATACTGATGTATCCCTGTGTACATCAGAATAGGTCTTAGTTGTTGACACTTCTACTACTCTCCACATTGACCCTGAATATTTCCAGCTGTGCTTTAAAAAAAGTTTCAGCTCACTGTTTGTTGGCCCAGCCCATAACTCTACTGTTTTGGTTCACTCTACCTACTTTCAGAGTTCTGTCTTTGTCTGCAATAGGCATCTGTTCTCAGCAAAAAGCTCTAAAAACATGATGTACACTACCTGCTCCACACTAAACAGTAAACAGACAGAGCTAGGAACCAGCTCATGAACAAAAATGAAGGTTGTAGAGGTTTTCAGAGAGCCAGATGTTTATCTCAGGAGTTGGAGGAGACCAAGAACAGAGCTAAAATGGAGCAGGAATTCAACTTAAGACACTCAACTCTAAATGAATGACAATGTTGCTCTGTAACAGCTGGGTGCATAAATAAGCAACTGTTTGCTAACAAGCTCACTATATCAGTTTGTGTTGTGTTCACAACCACTGCTGCTATTATTGCAGACATAGGATAGTTTTAGTAAAGAAAAACAAAAAAAGAAAGAAAATTATTAAAAACCAATACAATTTTTGTGAAAATGTATTGATGATGGAGATATGGCTTTACTGTAATATAAAAGGAATCATTTTATATTTTGGGAAAAGCTCTTGGTCACACTTTTTTGTCGAGAGTTGGACAAGAGGGTTGCTACCACACTCAAATAGCCAGCAGCCAAATAACATAGCATTAATATTTCAAACAAGGGGAAACAGCCAACAAAAAAGTTAAACCCCTGCTTAAAACCTCAACTTGTCACTTTTACCCTTTAAGCATTGTTCTTTGTTTATACAGTGGAGAAGGAGCCATCATAAGAGTCATCTTTGGACAGAGCGAGTAAACAGGATGTGTATGTGTGAGACATCAAGTAGCTAATTTCTGAGGTACTGCTAATTAAATGGTCTCTGATTAATAACCAGATGATGCCAACACACCTACTGAGCCTTCTGCAATAACAACCAGCTTTATCTTCACCCCCTCTGCCTCCAGAGTTACTCGCCTCTGAAATTGACCAATCTATCAGCCTGACAGCTGAATGTGTTCAGAGCAGACACACAAGGACAAGCCGCTAAAGCATTCTTCTGCCTATAATGTGGTCTATGGATCCCCTCCTGTTTGCCTCTGACTTCACTGCTCCACCCTTCCCCATTTCCTTCATGCCACTTTTGTGTCTATTTTTCCATCTTCCTTCTTGTTACCTGTGCACAATTACACACACGCACACTCTGTCTATCCTCTTTCTTTCTTCTGCCTTGTTACCTGTGCACAATTACACACACATGCACTCTGTCTGTCCTCTTTCTTTCTTCTGTAACTACTCTGGCACCTCGTTTTCTCTCCTGCTGTGTCCCTTAATTTTTGCATACCACCTTACTGAGCTCCTGCTGCTTCTTTCCCCCCTACCCCTGCTTCCAAAACTCCAACTCTCACACACACTTCTTCCCTCTCAGTCTCAGGCCATGAGGATTGTTCGGACGGTGGGGCAGGCATTCGATGTCTGTCACCAGCTGACTCTGCAGCAGAAAAGCGATGACCAGGAGGATGAGGAAGAGAAGGCCGAGGAGTCCGAGGCAGCGCCAGGTGACACATGCATACACACAAAATTGCATCCACATATCCAGTATCTTTCCTTTCTGTCCTGCTCTTTTCACACACACAAACTCACTCTGGTTTTATTCTCCAACAACACACAAATGCCCTCTGTTCCTCTTGCGTTCTCGCTTACACAAACAAATCTTGACTACCTGCAGAAACAAACAGCGACTACACACACCTCTCTTAGAAAAGATGTCACTATCTTCTGCAGATAGTTTTCTTAGCAGCTTGCTGTGCTGCCACAGCTGATTGGTTTGGCGAGCCATTGATTCAGTACCTTGTCTGTGTGGGCCTCTGCCAATTCTGCAGCTGTCATCACTGCTTTTAGATGCATTGTAAATTATAAAGGACAAATTAAAAACAGCATGAAAACCCCCCACATATACTGCAAGTATCTGGTCTCTGCAGCAAAGAAGAAGCTGGCATTGTCGGAAGAGACGGACCTTGAAGCTACTACAGAGGAGAGCATTGAATGTGTCTCTTCATCAGACCTGGAGAAGAGCAAAAAGGACGAGGCCTTCAGGAACGATGACAAGGTAGAGTACAGACATTGTCCTCAATCATTTCAGTGTCAATCATACAAAGCCTTTATTTTCTCGCTCCATTACAAGCCAGCCCTGATTTATGAATGTTTATTCCCCTCACACTGTAAAAAAGGTCGTAACTTTTTTAAACCAACTGCTCTGTACGATCTTCCATTTACTTTCATGGAAGACTAAATAAATGGCAAATCTTTACATTTAAGAAGCAGCAATCAGTGAATTTGGGCATTTTTGCTTTACAAAATGACTTAAAGAGAAACTGCACACATTTTACACTTCACAAAAGTTTTGTTCATTATTCATCCAAAGGAGTGATACCCAGTTTGTGAAAACAGCTGCATAGTGTCTTCTCTGGTTTCTAAAGTTTGTGAAAATAACCCAGATGATGTCATAATGATGTCATCAGGGTTATCTCGACTTGGATACTAAACACTTATAAGCAAAAGTCTGCTTCACAATCTATGGATGGCGTGTTTGAAACACATGGGTTTCAAATGAAAGACAGTATCAAGCTGCAGTATGGTAATTGTAGAACCCATGTTTCTAGAATTTGAGGTATACTCAGGAGTAATCTGTCTTTTCTGAGTCTCTTCTGTTGTTTGACTCAATGAATAATCCTCTAATCATTTCAGCTCTACTAAAATTCAACACCCAAAAATCTTTTAGCTTCTAAAGTCCTGCATTAACTCCTTCCTCTGCCCAGATGTCACAAACGAATAATGTAAAGTCAAGCAGGACAAAATGATTGATCTAATATGTTCATTCAGCAGAAGAAATATCTGAGGACAACGGGATGTATTGTTCCAATTTCTTTCTAGTAAATTTTGATCTAAAAGTCAAAAATGTCCTGTTAATAAATAACACAGGTGCTCACAGAGGGGCCTCATAAAAATTCGTGAAGAAAAAGAAAAAGCAGCACTGAGGGATGTATCACAAGCAATCACATCTTTAAGTTTTTGGGGAAATGCTCCATATGGCTCTACAGTATTGATGAGCTCATGGTTTATTGATGAATACACAACAAGGTTTTGTAGCACTGCTCTGCATCTCTGATATTTGTCAGCTCATGTCCAAACCAAGTCTGTGTGCTGCTGTCAGCTATTCAAGAAAGAAAACTAGTGTTGTTCTAATGAGGGGTTAATTAGTTTTAAATGAAAGCATATCTAATTACGTTGTTACCAGAAAACAAGAAAATTACTGTAGCTTTATAATTTCAGTTTTTAAAGCAATTCTGCCACATTAAAACAGCAGTATTTCACCCAGTATATTAAGATCTCATTTCTCCTGTGCGTAATTTGTAGGCCATGTGTCCTTCACAGTCTTTTATTAATGATGAGAGTCCACCATATTGATCTCCCATCTTCAATATTACAGATTAGTCATGGCCTTTACAGCTGCTCTCCACACACAGCAGCGGTCTAATATAATTCTGAGTCATAATTCCTGAATAGTCAAAACATTCAACAGCAGCCCATCCAATCGCTCTGTTTATAGATTCCACTGACTCATTTTGGATTTTACACTCCTGTTTCAACTTCAAACTTCAAATCTACCAAAACAACTTGAAACTGTTTTCAGTATCAGTATTAGGAACACCAGTACAATTGTATGCACTTCAGTGTTACACTTCCGCCTTAACATCTGTGTTTATGAAGCTCAAAATGTTTCAGTTTTTGGTGAAATTGTCATAAATGTATAAATTTAATTATATGTTTATTATTGAGGTCATAGTTAAAGGTGGTGTTGTACTGGGCTACATTATATTCAGAGGTGTTCCTAATATTCTGACCCTCTCATGTATATAGCTGGGGAGGACAAAAATATAGAGACACCTCTATTGTACACGCATGCTATGATTTCATCACATAGATCCGACTGGGTCCAGGCCTCCCAATCAGTAATCAGCCTTTTAGAACTTAAGGCTCACTTCTGATTGTTGGGTCCACCTTCTCAAATAAATGAGAACAAATAAACATAAAACACAACACAACATCAATAAACTGGGCTGTAAATATGTCAGCAGTAATGACCAAAATAAATATTCTGCTTACCCTCAGGGAGACACTTGCTTCTGGGAAATGATGGTGAGAGGCTTGACATGCAGAGCAGCATTTAAAGTTGCTTTCACTTTGTTTCCTGCCTTTGATTCTGTGAGAGTCACGGTGGAAAACCCTGACTCACATAAACAGGTGGTGGTGAAAGGCAACAGACATTTGATGGCCTGTTTTGACAGAGAGGAAGCTGCTGTCATCTGATAGTCTCATCAGCTCCAACACAGTGCACAGAGCCTTCAGAAGCAGGAGGGACAGAGAAAGGGTCCAAACTCCAAATGTTCCCATGTCATAGGTCTTCTGGGAAGCAGTCTGCAAACGTTAAGGATAAATTGATTAGTGTTGGGTTATAGCGCTGGATATGTTGATATATAGCAGCCGCCATTACTCATGTCAACAATTCTTCAGCTCAAGGTGTCTCTGGAGCTGGAGAGGGGTATTGATTGACTTTAATTTGCAGCTGCCTCCCCCAGTGGCTCTCGACACATATCCACAGCGCTAGACACAATAAGCTCAATCTGCGATCACAACCTGACTGCCTTGCTCTGTGCTACACAAGCAGCAACATAAAGCTATGTGAAGGCCTCAGTGCTGGCCTTCACCATGTGAGGGCCTAAACCACCACCAGGGTAGAATTGGTTGGGTAATCTTTTGTTTTCTTTATTTAGGTGTGTAGTTTTAAGTTGTAGGCATAGGTATTGTTACAGGTATTGTTTGATATTGGACATACATATTGATCAATGAGCATGCACATCTGATTACTTTTGTATTGTTAATATGTGTAAATTTTCTCTTGAGTTACCATGTTTCCTGGTCCATGTATGGGGGCAGTTCTGCCAAACGATCGGACTGAGGAGGTTAAATAGGGGTTAAATACCTCCCTCTAGGCCTGGACTACACCATGTGCTGGATACAAGAAAGGGGGGAGTTTGGGGGGAAGGTGTTGTTTATTTGTTTGTAATTTATGTTAAGACATTATTTGTTAAGTTATGTTATCTTTTTTTTGGCTTAAAAGAAAGCCTTTAGTTGTCAGCAGACTGTTGAGTGTTTATTAGTTGATTATTTTGATAGTGCCTTTGGTCTTTCCCTTGTGTGTGTGTGATTGGTTTGGCCAGCCAATATATATGTTTCCCTGTGTGTGTATGTCACTTGTGAGGTCAGTTGGTTTTTGTTGTGGTATCAGACAGTTCAGTTTGCAGTATTGTGAGTTGCTTTATTTTATTTATTTATTTTACCTCTTTTATGACCCAATTTATCTGATAATAATGTTGTTTGTATTTTGTCTTATTTTTTGGGTTCATAAAAAGCCAATTTTTTTTTACTCTAAGCTGTGTCCCCTACTGTTTGGTCCCTGACAAGCTAGCTTTCAAAATGGCTTTAGATGGCTTTGTTAATGTTGTGATGACTTTCTGTTGTGCCTGAAGTCTGTCCCTTTCCCATAGGAAATATTCTTTTGGTGTCCCAACAAATCAGGGTGCTTCGTGCTTAAGTGTCTCTGGAGCTTTGATGTTTAACTCCACATTTTACAGGGTTTCACCACATTTAATATTTTGTGCTGCCTCCCGTTATGAATCTGAATTTAATATACTCAAGGTCATATTTCCTCACCACACACTGTGGAGCTTTTACTGGTATAGGGTTGTCTCCCACCTCACTTTTTCGTTTTAAAAACCATTTTTGTGTCACTGCAGTAGAAGGAACGCTGGCAAGTTAGCCAGCCAGCCAGCTAGCTAGCTAGTAGTGGCAAAACATATCTCTACCTGATGATGTTTTGTAATAGCCCTCCTATTTGTCGTTGTTGGTAATGAGGCCAACTATAGTCGTGTCATCCAGAAACTTGACAATGTGGTTGGTGCTGCAGCTTGGTACACAGTCGTGGGTCAGCAGTGTGAAGAGCAATGGGCTGAGCACACACCCCTGTGGGAGCCCCTGTGCTCAGCGTGATGGTCTTGGAGATGTTGTTGCTGACCCGCACATTTTGTGGCCTCCCTGTTAGAAAGTCCAGCACCCAGTTGCAGAGAGAGGTTTTGAGTCCCAAGTGTCCAAGTTTTTGTGTAAGCTGCTGGGGAATGATTGTGTTGAATGCTGAACTGAAGTCTAGGAACAGCATTCACACGAGTTCTTTGAATCTAAGTGGGTGAGGGCTGGATGGAGAACCCCAGTAATGGCATCCTCTGTGGACCTGTTTGACCTGTATGCAAACTGAAATGGGTCGTGAGATGGATGAAGGATGGACCTGACTTTCTGCATGATGTGCTCGAAGCACTTCATAATGTAATCAGTGCTACAGGCTGATAGTCACTGGTTGGGTGGGGCTTCTTTGGAATTGGAATTATTGTGGTGGCCTTGAAACACATGGGAACAACTGCTTGGCTCAGAGAGATGTTAAAGATGTCCTCACGGACATGAGGTGGGGGTTTATAGCCTGTGAGGGTGTGAATGCCTCGCCAGAGACTCTGTGCATCTCTAGTGTTGCTGAAGTGTCCTGATATTTTCTTGCTGTACTGGCGTTTTGCATCCCTGATTCCACGGGACAGGTTGGCTCTTGCTGTTGCTAGGCCTGCACTGTCACCAGCCCTAAAGGCTGCATCTTTAGGAACACCTGCATTAGGAACACCTCTGAACGTTGATCATGTTTCTATGTTTCATAGAAACCTTAATATAATTAATTATAGAAGTAGCAAAGCCCAATTTGCTGTAGGTGTCCGATGACCCATCTCTTCTCCTGAGCTCTCCCATGCTCGGAGCGTCTGTGTTGGTTCAGTCAGCAGCAGAGGGGCCACGCTCTGCAAAGTACCATGTCCAACTCCTACAGAAGCAACTGCAGCAGCAGGAGCAGCAGGCACTGGCAGCTACAGCACAGGTACTGCACACACTAAAGAGCCCTTCCTTTATTTTACCGGAGCCATCTTACATATGTTTTTCTCTTTGTGTCTGCAGTGTAACTCACTAGACAATATAAAATTAACATTTATTTTAAGTAAACAAATGAAAAATTTGCTCAAATTATGGATATGCCTCACACATACAAGAATAGACCACAAATGTAATGTATAAAAGGTAATGCACACCTGGTACTGATCACAAATATACTGCTCATAGAGGAGACTTACCTAAAAATTGTCAAAATTTTACTGATTGATAACTGCCTGACAGAAAAGACACACATACTTTTACCCCAAGTGGTTTTAAAATGTACAACATCTCCTAATTAAGAATATTAAAAACTTTGTGTTGTATGACAGAAAAACTTCTGAGCACATAATGAAACCGAAATCTCTTGAAATTGCTAAAATTGCCAGTTTCATCTAATGTGGAGAATGTCAGTTACAATAATGCACTATTTCATTGTCAGTCAGTGGTGTGTTGAATAGGATATGGTGAGTTTTTCACGTTATTAAATCCAAAGAGCTTTTGAACATTTTTGCACCAAACTGCCTGTGCTGTGGTTTCAAGGCTTTTAAGATTTTCAGTTTCTATCTTACTTTGGCCAATTTCATTGATGGAAGATGATTCATAATGCTGATGAACTGGCTTCATCCAGTTTCTTCCAGTGTGGTTTCCGAAGAAACCAAAACCCTCTCTGTAAAGTCACAATGAAATGTTTGTTTGACTTAGGACTCACTGTATAACTTTGTTAGTAGTTTCCCCTTAACAACAGATCTGGGTTTTACTAAATTATTCTTTGTAAAGAAAATAATAAAAAGGAAAGATTCCTAAGAAGTAATAATGAATCTTCAGACAGGTTCTGGTTTTATCATGTGTGCAACTGTGTGTGTTTTGGTCTGTTCAGGTTCTGGTGCTCCAGGACCAGCTGTCACTGGAGGTGTGTGCGCGGACTGAAGCCCAGGCCAGAGTGCAGAGGCTGCTGCAGCAGAACACTGACCTGCTGCAACACATTTCCTTGCTGGTTAAACAGATCCAGGAACTGGAGCTCAAAGCTGCTGGCCAGTTGACATCTAGTGAGTGTAAATCTGCTTTATTCATCACTTAAACAGATAAATGTATCTGTTTTTTTCCTTGCTCCTGTCCTTCCTGTCATTGTGGCTCCTTTTCACATCCACTTCTGGCACACAATTGCCCTTGCAGAGCATTCAGTACTGCTCTCTGCTCTCCCCTCTCTGCATTTAGCCAGTGGCAAAATGATGTCACATAGTCCTGATTTTTCAAATCCTGTCATCACAGATGACATCCCACTCTGCATAATCCCATCTGCTTTGCTCAGACCTCTCTCTTCAAACATCTTACATCTCTGTTTACATGTGATGACTAAGACTCTTTCTGTAATTTGTTTTTCTCCTACATATCTGTCTCTTATTCTTTCTTCTCAAGGCTTTTTTGATTTCTCCACAGTGGGCTCCCAGGACAGCCTTCTCGAGATCACTTTTCGCGCCAGGCCCCCCAGCACGCTCCTTGAACCCCTCACCCCCTCTTCATCCACGGGCCCATTAGCAGCTCAGTCCCAGCTCCAGATAAATGACAGCGCTTGGGTGTCCGCCCTTTCTGGGCCCTGCTCTCCAGGCACCATGGGCACCAACACCAGTCCTCTGGGGCTCAGTGGCAGCGGGGTTCGGCTTGAATGCTTTCGTTTCTCCTCCCAGGGCCCAGACAGCCAGGAGCAGGGCCAGAACACAGGGGACACTCCCAGTGACGGAGCCACAGATGAAAGCTCACTGCTGGGGGAGCAGGTTTTGGGAGCCCTTGAGCTGCTTCGGTTTAGGGAGTCAGGGATTGGATCAGAATATGAGTCCAACACAGATGAGAGTGATGATCGGGACAGCTGGGGGCAGGGAGAGGGTGTCGGGGCTGACAGTACAGCTCGACTCTTAAATGTCCTGAATGTCGAGAGTCTGTCGGACTGCTTAGGAGATGAGATGGCTGTGTAGTAGTGCAACTTCATACTTGCACACTACTCAAGTGGGGAAAATTCTGAATCTGAAGGACTTTATCACATACATATGTATTGTGACATCAGTAAACATCATCATCTGCAGGCATATAATATGTGGGGGGCTGGTACAGCACGGAGTGTTTCCTCACCACTGTTTGGACAAGCTTAAAATTTTATCTTTACATTTTAATTTGTCATTTTGAGAAGATGCCCCATTTGCTTAAAGGATAAGGCAAATCATTTTCTATACTAATAGTATTTTTAGCATTCTCCATACAAAGATTAAGGCCGGCAATGAACTGCCTCTACTCATGGTTAATGTCTGTCAGTCTGTCAGTCCTGGATTAGCTTCTTGGTCTGTTGTTGTTCAAAAACTTTTAAAAACACATCAAGGAAACACACCACTGAACTGGGTGACACATTTTTATTTATAAATCCCCAAACCCCAGAGGTTTGTATGAGTCAGTTAGCTGCGCATGCGTGATATCTTGCACAAGCTCTTTGCTTTGCTTATAGTTCACTAGCTCCTCACGCTCAGGTCTGGGATTTGCTAATGAAGAAACATGCCGCCCAGTGCAGTGGTGTGTTTCACTGATGTGTTTTTACTCGTTTTTGAGCAATAGAGTCCATGGCACAAACAAATAAGTTGATCCAGGACTGACACTGACAGTAGCCACGAGTAGAGGCAATTCACTGTCGGTTTTAGGCTCTGTATGGGGATTGTGGAAAATACTATTAGTATAGAAAATGGCCGGTCTTATCCTTTACGTATCACATAATAAAAACAAAAATGCTGAAATTATAATTAGCATGCAAATGCTGACATATACTAATTTCCATTAAGCATAAACTAAGGTTTTGCAGCTTTGCAGGTATTTAGTAATAAACTATTGGACAAATTGAAATTTTAACCCAAGAGCAAGTTTTTCAGTCCATTTTTCACCTTGATGAAAACTACTTAATGTAATTCAAAATAAAACTTGCCTTTAGCATCTGTTTCTCAGCTCCACCCCAGCTCCAAAGCCAAAAACATCACATGTCCTTCTAGATAAGAATTTGGTACAGTGCAGCTTTATTCAAACCTGCCATTGTGGTGTTTCAGGCACTGTCTCTCTATAAACTTCTGCTGTTTTGATGTGTGTGCATTGCATACTGTGTGTATCCCTCTGATGATTGGTGTATCTTACATACATTTTGCTTCCTGACGTAATCACCACGTGGTTTTGCACTGTGGTTGTGTCTGTGTTTATGAATTTGTGACACATCCAACATGGACCTGTTCATTTTTGCTGTTTTCTATGAAGAAGAGCTTTATTTGCCAAAATTGTCTTGACATGCCAACACATTTTTGGAGTGTGAAAATTAAAACCTTGCTGTGCTTGCTATGATGCATAATTTGTAAGTTACACATGGGTTTATAAATGAGCATGTATTGCTCATACAATACTTGGCATGGTTTTTCTTCATAATTTTACATTATTGAAAAAGATCTGATGACCATTTTCTGATTAAGAGATACTGTCTCAGAGCAAAACCTTGTGTGCAGGTGCTTTTACAATCTTGTCTCTGCTGTTTAATAAAAATGTCACTGCAAGTCTTATTTTATAAATGCCGTACTGCGGCAGCGATTAACTGCTGCATCGCTGTTGCTCCACCCTTCAGAGAAACTGTGTGGAAAATCCTGAAGTACCAATTCAGGGAAAGATGGAGGCATGTAGGAAATATCTGGACCCCTTCATATTGTTCTAGCCAGCTCCACCATGCTGACTGTGAGCCAACTCAGTGAGTCACTGAACTGGGGACGTGTCTATGAGTTCTTTCCAAATCAATTAATCTCTTCCTGGCTGTCCTTTCTGCCTCTTCCTCTCCCTCAGTCACCTTCCTCCCCTCTTTTCCCTGAAGCTCGTCCCATTTCCTTCTCTTTTGCAGTTGCAATCTGTGTGCTGTATCCATATTTTTCTGTTAATTTCTGGCATTTCTCTCTAAGGTTATATCTGTTCACATGAAGTACACTAAAATGAAAGTGCACTCACATCAGTGTTTCTTCTTGTGGAATTAAATGCCCTTTCTCAAATGCTGTCTTGTGTCATGGTATCGTATGTCCAGTGTATTTGGTGTGACTTACTAACGGTGTTCTAAGGTGATTTATATCAAAATAGGTGTCTAACATAATGATTAGCAGCACCAGTTTCTGGGCTGACCTTTTCAAAATATTTTCCATGTCCCTTCCTCATGTGGAAGGTCTTTTGTGAAGGTGATGGCTCTTCATTATCATTAGAGATGCACCAGCTGTGGTCATTAAACAGGGTCAGCTCCCATTAAGCCTACTGTGTGCATTTACAGCAGCAGTTTGAAGTAACACTGCAGATAAGCTGGAAAATATGAAGAATATCAGCCATTACCCACCCACATCTAGCCACAACACCCTGCAGCTCCACTAGTACAGCTGCTGCTGACACAGATAGTGGGCGTTCTCCAGGAGTCGGCCTCTAGTTTCATTCGCTTGATTATAAAAAATACTGGTCTGTAATGTCATTTTGCTTACCCCCTCTTGAATCTGTATCAGTATTTTGTTTGTATTCTGCAGGTCATATGAAATTAAGAAAACTGTTTCACTGTGTTACATTTATCTTTTGGTTTAGAACTGAAATATCTGCCACTTGGCAAAATGTTTCTTTTATCCATTCAAACGTTAAAGAGCTTTTTGACTTATCTACAATGTTACAATGGTGAATTATCATCTTAGACATGACCTAAAACTAAAAAAATAAGGGGTGCATATGTTCTAGTACTTGTATACAGGAGCAACAATATTACTTTTTTCTAACAAAATAAAGTATTACGTTATAGTTTAAGGATTTCCTTGAATGGTTATATTCTCCAGGCTGTTGCATGTTCACATGAGCTTGCCTGACATCCACCATGCCACTGTAAAAGCATAATTTTTTCACTGCGCCCGGTTTTGTAGATATATTTTACCTCCTGCTGCTGCACTGTGACCAGAGGATGTGGATATGTATGAATTGCTTTTGAGAGCCCCCACTGGAACCAAGATACAGAACTTGTATGGAGATGAGACAGCTGAAGTGGAGGACACGTTGGGACAGACACACACGGTAGCACTCATCACAGAGGACTGGACTTGTCTCAGTAATCACAGTTACCTTGGGGTCCCTTTATGGTACATTTAGAACCAGTGGTGGAAGAAGTACTTGCATCCATTACTTAAGTAGGAGTAGCAATACAACCGTGTAAAAATACTCTGTTACATGTGAAAGTTCTGCATCCAAAATGTTACTTAAGTAAAAGTACAAACGTATTAGAAGTACTGAAAGTAAAAGTTCTCCTGCAGAATGGCACATTTCACACTCCTGTATTATAATTACTGGTGCATTAATGTATACAACACATTTAATGTTGCAGTTGGTGAAGGTGAAGCTAGTTTTAACTGGCTTATATACATTTAATTTGAATTGCTGCTGGGTAGCTTGTGAATTTTCCACCATAGATCAATGAGGTCTTATAATTATGCTGTATTTTTGTATTAATCGAGATCTGAAAAGTAACTAGTAACTAAAGGTATAAAATAAATCTAGTGGAGTAAAAAGTACAGTATTTGCCTCTAAAATGTAGTGAAGATAAAGTATGAAGTAACAAAAAATGAAAATACTCCAGTAAAGTACAGATACATCAAAATTGTGCTTACATACAGTACTTGAGTAAATGTACTTAGTTACTGTACTTTCACCACTATTTAGAACAAAAAAGTCAAATTAATTTGCAATTAATTGTGAGTTAACAATAGATAATCATGTGATTAATCATGATTAAGCCCTGCGATGGATTGGCGACCTGTCCAGGGTGTACCCTGCCTTCGCCCGATTGCCGGCCAGGATTGGCTCCGGCTCCACCCGTGACCCCGTTCAGGGACTAAGCGGTAGAAAATGAATGAATGAATGAATGAATAATCATGATTAAATATTTTAATCAATTGACAGCACTAAAAGAAATAATAATTTCAAGAACAATATTTTAGATGATTTCAGTTATAGATAGATAAATAGATAGATAGATAGATAGATAGATAGATAAAAACCAATAAATATTTTTTAACATTGTCACTGTGAGCATGTTAGTATGTTGGCATTAACATTGCTGTGAGCGCTGCAGGTTCTGAGGCTTGTTAAAACTTATCAGTACTCAGCCACCTGCTTTCCTAGTACATCATCATATTAGTCATTATTCCAATTAAAATGATCACCTGGTTAAATGATACTTGTGCACTCATGCAGATGTGAGCCTCCAGTTTTTGTATGTCTGTTGTGTAGCCATGCGTACCTGAGGCAGGCAGCAGCTTTCATGACTCGTAAATCTCTCTCCCACTCACATCAGGAGTCATACTTTGCCACTCAGTCCTCAACGTTAATAATACAGACAGTCTGTATGGTAAATATGTATTTGGAATCACCAACCAGGTAGCTTAACTTAGTATAAAGACAGGGAAACAGATAGCTCTAGTCTGTCTAAAGATAACGAAGCCTGCCTATTGATATCACCTAGAAACAGTTAACTACACCAAGCTAGTTGTGTTTATGCTAACCTTTCAGCTGCAGCTGCCTTTCAACTCCTGCCTTTGTTCAAAGCTAAGCTAATAGGATACAGCTTCATATTTAGCATCCAAATATGATATCTAGCTCTTGGTAAGAAAGAAAATAGGTGTACTTCCCAAAATGCCAAACTATTCCTTTGAATGAACATAAGTTGTAGCCTACATAGTATAACATAGCTACATTATGAGTGCTGTTATCTTCACTGATTAACGTTAGGAGTAAGGGATCAGATATTTCTTCTGTGTTTACATCAGATATTTTGTGACAGTACTGAAAACCACTATATTGCAGGCTATTCAGCAAAAAGTTGTCAAGAAATATAATATGTAATACATGGCCATAGTGTAGGCTATATACAAAAGTAGTGTTAAAGTCTTTAGTTTTTGTATTTTTATTTTTTCTGCTTCTTTCCTGCAACCATTGCATTTACTTCTGCCTTTGTTTTTATACATAACACTGAGCAGGAAGCTACTAACGTCTGTTGCTGGAGCAGCAGTTTGTAGTGACTGTGAGTAAAACTTTTTCAGTGGGTTAAATCATAAAAATAGCTTTACTGACAATATGATAACTATAAATGTTTGGAAAAATATGCCTGATTTAAAATACATATTATGTAGCCTAATTTTCCTGGCACCAAATCATTCACATATTGATCCATGAACAAGTGTTTGCCTCCTTTTGCTGTAACTACATTGTCCAGTCCAGTGATTTTTTTTAACATCATGTCTCCTTCAGTAATTAGCAGGTTCTCCTCTGCTGGAAAATGAATTCCAGTCTGTTTTTGTCAGTAGCTCTCACTGGAAATTGCTGTGCTTCTCTCAGCTGTGTCTGTGGACCATAATTGAAACCATTTGTGGATCAGGTGGAATTCTGGGATGTTAGCCTCACCTCAAAATCCCAAAGTGTGTTATTTTCTCCATTTCTTTCCTCCAGCCAGAGAGACTGTTACATCAGCCTTCATTTCCTCTCTCTCTCTTTTTTTCCATTCCCACAAAGTCCTTCCGAGGAAGAGGTCAGCGACTCACAATGCTGAATGCATCAACTCAGAGTAGATGTGGAATATTCCCTGAGACAGATGGTTTCATAATAACGAGAGAAGAACTTGCAAAAGTAAGTCAAATCCACTGTTTTCTCTTGTTATTATTAACTCCAATGTCTGTGTTGATTTTGAATGAAGCTTGTGTTGCTCAGCTCAGTTCAGAGAGGAACATCATGTAGGAAAACAAGTCTAACATAAAAAGATCTATTTATACACATTAAGATTAAAATGGATTAAATATTGCAGCTGTTTGCTGTACAGAAACGGAAACTCCAGGGAGAGCTGTGTTTCAGACACAAGTGGTGTGATACAGGTTATTAAATTCAGTGTTTAATGTTCCCCTCTTTTATTTCCTTCCATCTTTATGCATGAAACCAAGCTGTAATGCTCCCTTAGTAATTACACTGACACAAAGGCAATGTACCCCCAAATTTCTGTTGCTGACAGCAATTTCTTTACAGTGGTCTGAGTGTGTTAGAGGTATATGTTACTGAGACCTTACAGGGTTTTTACAAGGTAAACGAAATGCAGGTACTGAGGGTTACAAGGAGGACTGTGTGTGCATGTACCTCTGTGGAGCTCAACAAGCTTTTAAGGGATATTTAACGCTATAGAACCATTTGTAACATCTTGTTCTGAAATATATGTAATAAAAACTTTTCTTACATGTATTTTAAATTTTTACCTTTAACATTTTACAGTATTTTAGCCTTTATGGTATTTACTAATACTTACTTTTCCTTTATAGTTTTATGTATTATTTATTGCGCCCTAGTTTTCAGCACAGCTTTAAGAGTAACCACCCTGTATTTCATTGTTTTCATTGTTTGTGTATGTGCCTCTGAATTGTTAGAATCATTCATATTTAAAATCTAAAACACCGGATGTAATGTGGAATATTTGTTGATATGATATAGAGTAATTTTAAGAAATTGCTTACTTAGGATTACTTTGATGTTTATTGTAAGTTGCACTACTAATTTCACACCATGGTCTACAAACTTCATTAAACATGTAGGTGGGAAGCTCCTTGACAAAAGAGATGATGGTCACGGAGGTTAATCTGATCACACATCATGTCTTCTTTATCCTATTGGCTGCCACTGTACGAACTCAAGTCAACCCAGGTAGATATTTCTGTTTAACCTTCATGTCACATACCTGATGCTGTTTGTCAGAGACACACTATAAACCAAGCTAAACTCTTTCTATCATGCATTGTTCACTGAACGTGCAGTGGTTTGTGATACCATCCCGCAAAGTGTGATGCTTGTGTCAACCAAAGTTTCCAACTGTATACTGAATATCAGCCTGTCTATGTGGATATGTCATAAAGTTAAAATAGCTTATTTATATTCCTGAGGGATAAGCATGTTGACAAGATGGTAAAGGAAAGCAATTTTAGGTGGGTGGGCTTAAAAGAATGTAAAGGGTGTGTTTCTATGTGTGTGTGTGCCTGTGAGAGTGTGTGTATGTGGTTTACCTAATGGTCAGAGAGCAAATATCCTTAGAACAAGCAGACCTTTCACAAGCAGGGGGCATTCATGAAAAAACAAGAATTGTAAGCATCGTAGGCAACACACACTCGCTTACACACACATGCACTCATTTGAATTTTCCACTTAGAATATTTTCACAGTAAAAGGCTTATTTGTTCTGCTGCTCTCGTAAAATACGTGCCAGGGAGTTCAGTAAGAAGGTGAATAAAACACAGACGTCCCTTAATTACCAGGTAGAGATGGTAGGACTAAACAGTGGCACAGCAGTGAGTAGCTCCACAGTGCGCTTACTGTATCATATCAGCACTGAAATGTAGCTTCTGTTATCCTTTTTTTGCACATGGACATAGTTGAGAGAGGCCAGTGCTTTAAAAGTCAAATAAAAAATGTAACATCTTTAATAGAAATTGTGAAAATGGGTGAAGACTAAAGACCCAGCAGTTCTGAGGCCACTCAAGTCTCATTTTGCGTAGACTGGCATCTACACAGTAATGCCTCTGTTTGGCTTTAGAGGCCTTGCAGGGCTGCAGGAAGGGGACTGGTGGTGGTGGTGGTGGGTAGAGGGCTCGACTCCTCATATACCGCAAATACACAAGAAGGACACAAAACTCTTATGGCATGCTAACATATGCAGGACACACACTGACATAAACACATAACAGACATATTGATAATGTGAGCAACATGTGTTTCAGTGATGCACCATGTTTTTGCAGAAACGTGTCGTTATCCTCTTGGTATGAGCGGTGGGCAGATTCAGGATGAGGACATCTCTGCCTCTAGTCAGTGGTCTGAGTCAACTGCTGCCAGATTTGGAAGGCATGTTTGATTATACATTGCTCTTCTTTTAGCTCAATTCCATGTCACTTACACTGGCTAACATACATAAAACATGTCATTAGTATGTCACTAGACAGCATGCAAAGTGTTTACTACAATTTGGTCCCAGTAATCAGTATACTGCATCCTTCTTCAATGATAATCTGCAAAGTCCTGTTTCTTTTTGACTGAAGGTCCTTCCTTCAGTCATTTGTGCCAAATTCTTTTTCTGTTGACTTCAAACTAACTACTGCTTTGGCTTCATTACATCTTGCACATGCAGATTTGTTTTCACCAGAAAACTGCCTTAGTCTTTGTGCTGTTGATGTAGATTTTAAACATTTATGTCAATAGATCAAAGTCACTCTGTTGATTAAGATTATATGATATGACTGAAAATCCCCAAACAGCTACTGGACCTTGAGGTGTGATTGGTTTGTATTCCCAAGGTCAGGAAAGAACTACATAAAGGTTGGGGTTAAAATTAGGTTAGGTAATGGTACAGGTTAAAGGATTTGTTCTCTCTCTCTTGTCAGTCTTGAGATCAATACTACTCTCATATCTGTGTAGTAAATATGGAGCCAGCTGGAGGTTAGCTTAGCTTAGTTTGCTACATACTGTATACTGCATAGTCAATGTTTCCTGCCCCTCTTTTCTTCCCCTTCCATCCTCCTGTGTTCATGCTCCTTCCTTCTTTACCTGAACTCCTTGTCCTTCCTTTCCCTCTCTCATTTCTTCCTCCTTGTCAGACTTGACTTTGACAATGGAGATGGCGATGGGGCTTGGTGTCCCGACATGTCCGAGCCAGATGGCCTCAAGGAGTATCTCCAGGTGGACCTGCGTTCACTGCACTTTATCACGCTGGTGGGCACCCAAGGTCGCCACGCTGACGGAATGGGTAATGAGTTTGCTCAGCGATACAGGATCAAATACAGCCGTGATGGCAGCACATGGGTGGGCTGGCATGATAGGAAGGGAAGACAGGTGAGCATGGCCAGATGGCACGGTGTATCCTTGTGCATCAACTAAGTATGTACACTCACTCACTTGGGTCCAAATTCAAGGTACATGAACTTTAATTATTTGCATGTTCTGCTACATTGTACTTCTATTCTATTACTTTTTAGTGGCAAATTATGAGTCACTAATACTCATTCAGCAGAAAAGCGGATTATACATGAATGTATATCAGATTACTGGACTATAATTACTGATGTATTACTGTGATCATCACATCTAATGTTGCAGCCAGTAAAGGTGGAGTACATGTTAATTTGAAGTACTTTACATACTTCTGGGTAGCTTGTGAATTTCCCACCAGGGATCATTAATGTCTTATACTGTGTTTTGTTTTGGTCATCTTATTCTGAAAAGTAACTAGTAACTGAAGTTATCAAATAAATGTAGTGAGTAAAAAGTATAATATTTGTCTCTAAAATTTAGAGAAGTATGATGTAGCACAAAATGAAAATACAAGTAAAGTAGAGATACCTCAAAATTGTACTTAGGAGCACTACTTGAGTAAATGTACTTAATTCCTTTCAACTTTGATTACCAGGGCCAATTTTCTGAATTATAAACACTTTTATTTTTTACCCTTGAAGTACATTTTGCTATTGATACTTATAATATTTAAGTGACCTTTTTCTATGGAGTATTTTTAAATCACAGTATTGTTACTTTTACTTATATAAGTAATACACTTAAGTAAAACTGTAATAGATCTAATAAAAATCTAATATGATTCTTATCTTCCACCATTGGTGATAGATGGCAAGACAAAGGAACGAACCAGCAGACATCTTCTTTTCAGCAGATAAAAACAGAGTTTATGGGAAATGTGGTCAGTTAATAGATGGCAGAACCAGCAGCAGCACTGCTGTGAGACAGACAGTACCACTTTATTTACAGATTTATTTTATCATATAGTTAGTGTGCTAAAATGCTACACATAGCAGTTTTGTCATTCAGAATCCACAATTCCCTTTGCTCAGTTTTTGTTCAAGTACACTTCTATCCTTGACATGCTGCTCTTACTCAG